AGGGTAAAGAACGATTTATCCTTGTCCAAACTAGTAATCTCTGTCGAACAAGGCTCTCTTCCGTTTGCCTTTGGCAACATTGTTTAGGAGTCGCGACCAAGGTTGTCCAGGGGCCCTTGACATAAGTTAGGTCCACAAACACAGACCGTCATTCTATCACACAATCCCAAGAATGGTCCTCTTTGGCGCAGCAAAAAATACTATATAGTTGGTAGGCATTTTGAATGCGCACAAACCATACCTCCCTGAACGTCGCATCGCATTCGCATTGAGCAGATGTGGCCCTCCAAGCTTCGGAAGCATTCATGTGAGTGAGAATGAATGAGAATTCATGTTCAAGGCCATCATAGTTAGAAGTTCTCAGGGATTGAAGTCTGAGGAAATTGAAGTCTCAGTTTTGTGGAGCAGGATTTGTTCTTCCATGAGGGTGTTTATTTTCCGAATTTCCTTGCTCACTGATGCGATTGCAGCGATCAGGCTGTTCATTCTTGCACTCCACGCCTCTTGATCACTGCAGCAAAGCAGGGCATCCAAACCTGAAAGGTTGCAAATCAACAATTCGCTGTGGCCATCTTGGAAAAGTCTTTAAATGCTCTGCCGCATAAGATAGAAGTCATACAGTGATCTATCGAGATACGGGAGACTCAACCATGCAAGTGGCTTTGCTCCGTGCCAAGGGCCAGTTTCCCGTAGTGCAGTTGGGTGGGACGTTTTGTGAGAAACAAATGCTTCGTTATCGGATACCAGAACTGTCAATGACTTGACCTGTGGAGAGCAAAGTTCCACTTTCCATAGGACAAAACAGGAATGGGTGAAAACAGTGATCTGCACACAACCTTTCTTTTGTCAACATGTTTCTACATGAATGGAAGAAGTTCAACACTCGAGATGGCAGCAGCTCTTCTTCAAAAACCGCTGGGCCATCATGCTCTATTTCCACCCATTGAACACATCGATGCCTTTGGTGGTTTTTGGCATAGTGAAATGTACGTTAATCTCGCCGACGTTATGCCCTTCAAACCTGAACAAATTGTGTGCTCTTTGCCCTCCATTTCACCAGGCTGCAACACCGGAAAGGCATGGGTGGCCGTGGGTGGCAGGATTCCAGATCCCCATGAAAGACTCGGATGGGTGGCCGTGTGGAAATTCGCTGGGCTGTCCGGCATCCCTTCTCCACTGCGGCATCGAAGGTCGGCTCCAACTCATCCAGTTTAGTTACATCTAGTACCTGCCATGCCACATAACAGTGACTAAGTCTCGCGTCTATATTTCTCCAAACATGTGGAAGGATCCGACTAACCTATACAAACGGAGGGAAGGAAAGATTTGTTGGGCTACGACTATAATAGACAGCTGGGTACATGGTAAGGGCACCTTCTCCTATGTACAGGATGATAGCGGAAGTCGAACCTGGCCAAACCACTGTAAATGCCCAAGAGCCTCCCAGGTAAGGCCAGGATGATCGGTGTAGCGCTCTCGCATGAGGTTGATACAACTGCCACCTTTGCCCAGAAACACAAGGACCAAGAACAGCTGGACACCCTTGGCAGATTCCATAGATTGCACTGATTGAACAACGTCCTTGCTCTCTGAGCAATCACAGGTCTTTAAGTTTCATCTAGAGCTTGGAGGCGGATGTCGTCAGGATTGCCAAATCAATGGCTGCAAGTGAAGCTGCAGAGTGCGGCTGCTTCCCTGTGGCAGCTGGTTTCTGGATGAAGATGCTTCCCAGTGTCTGTGGTTCCTCCCCGCAAACCACAAGTTAGTTGGAGGTTTTCCCAGACAGCTGGAGACCAGCTCTTCCACCATGTTCCACCTGCTGGATCTGCGGCTCCCCACTGCTGTCCACGCTGAGAATCTGTCCATGAACCTGGTGGGGTTCAACCGACGCAACGCAGAACAGAAAGTCGGCTGATTCTAAACCGACGGGTTTAGATGGCTTTGATTCGATGGCTTTTAAAACCTTGTTTTCTTCCTGGGCTCCAGGCCTCTCTTTGCAGAAAGATCGGCAAAAGTGACCTTGTATGTATGAGACGAGTAAATGCAAGCATCACTGAATTAAGATAGATCAAACCGTTCAGCATCCAGACATCAATATTATGCAGTTCGAACCTATAAAACACAAGGATATATGTACGAAAAAAGATCACATGCAAAGAAGCACTTAAACCTCCCAACATAGAACTGCGTTCTCCCTTGAAACAAGGCACATGCCACAGCCGGGATGAAGGATACGTCCACCCTGCACGGGTAAGTCCAAGGCCTTCTGTTCAGAGGGCCATGGAAAGTGTCAACATACCAGCACATGAAAGTGCCAAGACCCACTAGCGATGGCCTCCAACCTGATAATGATGGCCTCCAACCTAATAGCACAAGTGTCAACAACAAAACTTTTTCAGGAGACACTGCACCTCTTGTTTATTCCTGCCAACAGCGTGCATAGAACATTGTCAAGTACGGCTCAGCAATGCTCAGCATTTCAATCACTTACTCCAGGCCACATCTTAAATTCTAAGACCTATGTTATATAATTACTTGCCACAATTCTAGCCGCCTGGTTATTGATCAACAATGATGCTAGCAATAAGCAAATACCTCAACTACCATTTACCATCAAATACCTCTCTCTGCTTTCGCCTGCAGTGCGGGAACCTACCACAATACTCATGGTCAAAATAGATGACCTGGCCACATTTCGCAATCTGCCCACTATCAGATCTACCATGATCTACCTACCCAGGCAATTACCCGACCTTTCACCCCAACGAATCGCATCGACATGCCCGACGTGCGCCCCGACGTGTCCGACGTGCGCCCCGCCTCGGGCAGATGCGGCGTCAAGAGAGGCAGCAGGACCTTCCAATCTCCACCTCGGCCGAAGCGACGCGCCCTGCGGAGCGACGCCGGAACAGCTCGGTCCGAGGTCGTGGTTTCGGAGATGGATCTGAGGTCTGACATGCCGAAGTGTCTGCTGATGTCTGAATATACCACAGGGAGCTGTTCTCATTGTAGGCACAAATGGTTTTTTCAGGCGTCAGGGCATGTCATTGGATCGTGTTGTAACTTATTGCCGTTTTAATCAATGTTTTAGCAGTTTCTTTGGGGAGCGCTGATTTGGCTGGCTGTATGCAACATGCCACTTATAGCTAGTCGCGAGACTTCAACCTGGTTGAAGTAGTCACTGGTAGGGAAGGCAAGTGTAGCACCCAAACTACCCAGCACAGATTGTTTCTGCTAATAATGATTAAAAATGAGGCCGTTGCAAGACTTCAAAGCCAAAGGCACTGAGCCACTCGAATTCCAAGGCCGTTGGGTCTGTCGCGGCCCCACTGCTGGCCTGTGAGAAGTGTGCCTGGCGCAATGAGGAACGTCTTCAAGTCTGGTCGCATTTGGAATTCTTTCAGATAGGACATGGTGGACCCTGAAAACCATTCCCTCAGCAGCACTATAGTTCAATCTGTCGCACGGTTCAGGGGTCCTTTCTATCCCTTAGGGAGATTACGCAAGGAAAGAATTGGTGAAGGAAATGTCACAAAGAGAGATTGTAAGGGATCCGTTTGAAGAAAAGCGTTGAAGACTCAAACTCTTTCCACAAACAGAAAGTACCCCCAATTTCATTGTCATAGACTACCATCGCCTCCCAGAAGTCTTGGCTGCCATAGTCTGGTGGTTCACCTTGATTGCGCGGAGTAGTTGGTGGCAACGGCCCCAGATCAAAACTCAGTGAGTCACAATGAGCCACTCATGGTGATATGCCGTCATACGCCTGCAAGAGGTGCTCTTTTTCAGGAACCGGAATGAGACCTCCACCAACCTACTAGCGATGGCCTCCAACCTAATAGCGTTGGCCTCCAACCTACTAGCAATGGCCCAAGCGAAGTTTATGGAAGTGTTCATCTCGTCATTCTATTTTGGAAGAAAGTAAAGTACACCGTTCTGTTTCAATTGACCAGGACGATTGGCTCTTGTGAAGCCAAGCATCACTCGCATTCTTCCCACTGGCCATCTTCAGACATACAACCTGATCAGGAGTGATCAGACTTCAGAGCAAGCACGAACGCAAGCATCCTCAGTAAGCGATGCCAAAGGTCCAAAAGCATCCAAAAGTCACAGTAACGATATCCTAGAAGATTCCTCAGCTCCTTATTCTCTCCGCGTTCTGGGCTCATTCCTCAGCGACCCCCAAGGAGCCTCCAGATCTGGTCGACCCTCTGCCCTCATCAAGATGTGGAATCCAGAGCAGGTGACCATGGCCAGCTGACAGAGCTGAAGAAGTATGTGGTTTTGACCATGTCCAAAACTAAATTGTTTCGTTCATGCGCACATCCCACAAATCATCACATGTTTGCTAATCTGCTGCACTGCTGCTCTTGCTTGACATACGATGATCCCCTTGGGCCCGAGGAGAGGTCGCATTGAGTCTAAACGTGTCATGGAGGTGCTGAGTAGTTTTGTCTATCACTTCATTGCACTTTCATCGCACTTTCCAACTTGTACAAACAATGTGCTTTTCGGGCGGGGGGGCCTAGGCCGTAGAAGAGATAGCTAGTAGCTTAAGCGTAGGTAGGACGCAGGATAGCTCATGCTCGCACGAATCATTTGGTTCCTAGATTCTTAGGGAAACTTAATCTTCCAAGGGTATCTTCACACGGCTATAAATAAATCTGAACGAGAACTTCCAAGCTGTCTGACTTTGGAATAAGACGACAGCATACCCGTGGATCAAGCAGCTCCTGTCCTGCAATCCTTCTACTTTGTTACTTCCATGCTCCATGTCTGCTTCTTTTTCAATTGTGGCGTGCTTGTTGGTCAACAGTCAAAGGATGTGAATGAGAAACATCATTCCTCCCATTCCCCTCCATTCAACCAGGTTGTTCTCCCCATTCTCATTCATTACATGTTCCATGTTTAGCATCCCTTCAAAAAAAGAAAACGCCTCTCCGGCCTCGGAGACCTCTCCTTTCCCCGAAAGGACCTTTCCCCCGAAACCTCCCCAATGCCTCGAGGCTCCGCTTGCGGCTCGACATAACCACCAGGTCTTCCACCACACCACTGGCACCACAACGAGGACGACGAGTTCGGGACCCGAACCGGGCTAGGAGCAAGAAGCTACTAGGGGCTCCTACGTTACTAGGGGCTCCTGGCATCTCCTGGCCTCACTACTAGGAGCAAGAAGCTACTAGGGGCTCCTGGCGTGTGCACCTATGGGACTATTCTTGTCTAGCTACTAGCAAGGACGCTACGAACGTAGCTCCTGGCATCGCTACTAATAGCAAGACGCTACTACAAGTAGTACCGGGTTATGATGTTCGAGCTTCTTTGCTAAAGTCTTGACATGGCCTTTCCATTTCCTCTTCAGTTCTCTCCCGTCCTCAGCCGTCGCACATGAGCTGCAAGCTCTGTTGCTTTGGCATCTCGAGGTAGAAAGAGCCTCGGCATCTCCATGCATCCACATGAGTTAGGGGCTGTTGCATCAAGTTTGTGAGTCCCCTATCGTTTCCCAATGTTTGGGAAACTCATAGGGATTCATATGGTATCGTTGTTTTGTGAGTCCCTTATCATTTGCCCAGCCCCCCTCAATGGCTCAAACGTTGCAGTCTTTAGCGAAGTCAGACCGTGGTTGAAGGGGTGTCTCAAGCTGGCCTGACCAAGATTGCTGCAAGCGTTCGTCCAAGGTGAATAGGAGTATCTTACTTAATATCATATGAATATCCATTACCTTGTCTTACTTTCCTTCATCTTGTCAACATGTTCCAGTCCTCCACCTCCAGAGCCTCTGGAGCCTCGGAGTCCCTGCAAGCGCAGGTCCGCTTCGCTCGCACCACCTCCACCTCCGGGCCATTAGGACAGGCTGGTCCTACGCCAGCTAGATAGGAACCTTCAGGTCCAATCCATGACTTTGTGGATATTTAGCAGTTCAAGGTTGGTAGGGGTTGTCCTGTGAAAGACATCCCCGTTGGCTGTGCACCATGCCCATCGCAAAACACCCTGTCCCAGCCTGGCTTCGCCAAGCACCGAATGAAGCGTCGCCTGGGGTAAGGCAGGAGGCCAAAAATGGGATCCAACAACCACTAAAGGTTGAATGCTTAACAATTTGTTTTAACCAACCACAAGAATTGTTAGAATCCAGCTTTGTCTACATTTGTCCACAAAATCGCTTGATTCGCAAACTGCGCGCCGTGAGCGCCGTGAGCGCTGCGCCTGTGATCCCAATAGTCAGCGGAGGTCTTGACACTTCGTCTCAGGGAAGAGCCTCAAGTGTAACACTTCAGTTGTTCTGCAGTGATCAAAGGAATCCCGTCCTATATCTCAAACAGTATAAATTAAATGATATTAAATGTATCAGAGGCATCTTAGGCGTCCCCTTGAGTTGGCCGACTTGTCTTTGGCCCATGCTCTCCCGGAAAAAACGGCCTGCTTGAGCAAGGAGCTTAATGCGCCGGTTCAGTACACCTCGGTGAAGCGGCATGAGCGCTTGCGTTGAGGACCTTCCTTGTTATCACAGCCGAGATGTTGCGTCTCAGCATGTCACAATATACAAACATGCAGTGTCCACTATGTCTTGGTCCCTGACTCAGGTGGTGACTGGAATCTTTCTCCTCATCCAAATCCTGCAACGAACTCCGGACATCGCTCAGAGTTGCTGTGCCAGCTTGCTGGGCAGGGTCGTGTCCGCCAGACAAGCGACTCCCGATGGTCGGCCGGTGAGTTCGCCCAATTCATGAGACAGAATGGACGACCTTCGTTTCTCAGGGCTTTTTCAGAGAAGGTCGTTTTTGGGCACCGCTGACCGAAGTCGGACGAATCCACTGAGCCGCGCGGCCATGGGCCTCGGGTGTGTCAGAGACATTCACCTGGCGGTCGCACAGCGACTTAGCAATCGTGACTTTCTATGTCACGATTATTCTAGGGCTGGGGTTCTCCAAAGTAGACACCATGGCCATCACAATGGAAAAGGAATCAAAAGAGACATGTATATGCTGTATATGTATATATGTGGCATAAGTGTTGTGGTCAGAAAGTGCTGAGATATCTCGAGCCATCCGAACAAAGGAGGTGAAAACGCTCTGCAAAGCTGTCCCAAACAACCTGGAGACACCAACTCTGCCAGCCGTAAGATTACAACGGCTAATCGGACAATGACGAGCCATGCCGGTCCCAGGTCCCACATCCGGTCCCGCAGCTTTTGGTTTATGTTCTTTTCACGAACGTTCAGCCGTTCAGCATTGCGTTCTGACTGCAAAACATATACTGTCGTTTCGTTCAAAAGTGACCAGAGGTCGCCAATATCCATAATTAACAGGGTCAACATCAAGCATGAATCCCAAATGATCACACTGAGGCCAAAATGAGGAACGGCATTCAAACATATTCAAATCACCAGGACCATACAGGACCTGATGACCCAAAGCTGTTGAGTTGCCGCTGATGGCTAGTTCTCCACAGTGCAAAAAGTGGGAGACAATTTGGGACTCTAAAGTGCCCATATGATCCTGCCAAACAAAGAGAAGTCGAACAAACGCTGTTTACATGATTTACCCCGCCTCCTCCCACTTTCGTGACAAGTAGTCAGACAGTTGCCAGCTGCACCTTCGAAGATGATACGGATTGGCCGAGAAAGTTGGATTGCGGATTGCATAGAATACGAAACAATGAACCTTTCGGTTTCCGACTGTGCAAGTGCGAAAGGCCTTTGGTTCCGCTTCAAACTAATGTAGCACCCAGCTCGGCAATCAAGCACAACTATTGACCCAGATCTTCAGAGGCTGAAGCCACAATGTGCAGGAAGATGCTGCAAAGGAGAGCCGCATTCGACCTAATAGAGGACAAGCAAACAGAACCGGGTCTGTAAAGAATCACGTTTCTCCGTTTCTCCAATAATCCTCAACCCTCGTATCACTACCCTGATGCTTGAGCTGAAAAGGAACTTCAGTATTTCCAAAACATCATCAAGCCAAGGATACAGAGAAACTCTGGAACACGCAGCGACCGTAAGCCATTCTTCCAAGTATACCACGCCACCACGCGACTCCGCAACTTGCAAGCGGAGCGTCTTGCCTTGAGACTCCACCAATACCACCGATACAGTGATGACAGGGTGCCCCACCATCCACATTCGCCGCCCGCGCGACGGCCTGAAGGTGAATCCCAACCCAATTTTCCGGGAGCCAACAGGGCCAAAGGCACTGGACGCGTCGTGCGGTGATTGGTAAGAAAAAGATAGAAAAAGCGTCATGATACATCTGCTGGATTCAGAAAAGGCCTGTGAGAGACCCAGCAACTGCTCCAGCGATTGGAAGATCCGAGGAGCCTCAAGCAGTTGTTGAGATTGCAAGAGCTGAATTGGAAAACCATCTGGGCTTGTTAGAGTATTGGAAATGGCACAACAAATGGTCCTGCTAATTCAGATCTTGGAATTGGGTTCAATCTAGTGCAGCTGCAAATCATGGACTCCAGTGCTGGCATTGCGGAAGGAGCTCAACCGACTTGCACGACTTTCTTTGAAGTTTGAAGGATTCTTTCAGAAGTCCAGGACACCCCTCAACCGGTCTGCCTTGTTCCTTTTGATATCGAACAAATCACAAACAGATCACGGGCCTGTGCGTCAAGCAAGGACTGGCTGGCAAGCAAGGCCTCAGCACATGAAAGAGAAGCCGCGGTCCGGCAGCTGCCGGGACTCTCAAAAGCTTGCTCATAAGAGGTGTGAAGAGATTCTCCCTGCACCTGAAAGTCTATGAGTCTACGGCCGGACAATCTGCCCCGTTCGAAGGCATATTTTTGACTTGTGCTGCAAGGATGGATACATGTGTTGAGGTTTAGAACCTATTGCCCCCTCTGAGCTGCCCTGCCCCTACCAATGCATCAGCTCCTGCCATTACTGGAGTGATTATGCAACTGCTTTGTGGCGATCTTCTGCAAACTGAATCCTGATGTGCATGTTATGGCCGAATCCTGCGCTCCCGCCCGTGAAGAAGAGCGAACAGGCTGCTGAGAAGGCAGCCTGCCGAAGGAATTGAAGGATCCGCCGGGATCGGTTCAGATCGCAAGTGTGCCGTTGTCCTACACTCTCAGAATCTTCAACATGCTGCAGTTTTTGAGGTCTTTCCATCCTCTCGTATCCTTTGGCGTCCCGATCCAAGCGCCTCAGGTTTCGCTCGCATGGACTGCAGTGATGCCTGGCCAGTCCCTCAAACAACTGCCCCACTCCGAAGAGGTTCCGGTGATCCTGATAGGCCCTATCTGTTGCCTAAGGCCCTTGGCTTCAAGATCTATAAGCCAAGATAGTTGAAAAGGGTCGACGTCTGATTCGGTAAACAAACGGTCTGATTCGGTAACCAAAACCGCTGATTCGGTAGCCAAAACTCGCTGATTCAGTAACCAAAACCGCTGATTCGGTAACCAAAACCGCTGATTCGGTAACCAAAACCAGGAAACCAAAACCAAAAACATTTCCAAAAGAAGAAACTGATGACCCGGGTGGTGGTGGTGGTGGTGGTGGTGGTGGTGGTGGTGGTGGTGGTGG